CTAATTGTCCATGACCTGGCTATAGGGTTGCCACCTTTTCTTTAAGTGAAACCCAAACACTCTAGCGACGCGCAGACATTTTTTGGGGGAGAATGAGTCGCGGCTTATTCATATGTATATAGCGCCACCCATTAATATGTAAATATCACAGTTAAGACTATTTTCAGGGCGGGGGGGGGAGCAGTAGCCCCTATCTTAATTTTGGTTGCCCCTGTCTAGGGCTGGCTCCAGACTCACCAGTCCCTACCAGTTCCTTTTAGTATCTCGGTATAGATCCATTTGCAGCACAGTTGAATAGGGGTTGGCACAAAATCCTCAGTAGGAGAGACACCAGACTTGCTCCTGAGGTCCTCTCTATTCCATGCACCTCCAGCAGCCATCAGCTTCCCTGGTTCTCCTCCTCCAACCAAGCAGAGGCCGCCTCCACCAGACTTGAGGCCTAACAGAGCATTTTATGCCCTCAAGTACCACAGCACCACAAACTGGGCAAATCCATGGCTGGAGCCAGACTGAGCATATAGCAATTCCCTGGAGTGTAAATGCCCTGTCCCAGCATGCAACACTGACTAAGAGAGCCCCAGTGATTGGCTGGTGGACTGCACACACACTCACAGTGTACCTCATTGGATGTCCCACACTGCAGCAGAGTCACACTCCAGTACAATCAATGCCGGAACACCTGGAATTAACCAGATAAATGCCAATTATAATTCAGCCAGGCTGACTAGAACCCTGGCAAACACCAAGTTTCTAGTAGCCAACTCACAAAAGGTGATGGGGGCTACAGCAGATTAACCTTTTAGGTGCCACTGTATCGTATACAGCGGAACACAAGCGCTTGCAGCTGGCCACATCAGTATCCCATACGTTGGTGGTTTTTACCCTTCTTCAAGAAGCTCATAACCATGAACTTATACATGAAGGGTTTTCCTGACTCTCCCCTGTAAAATAATAGCTGTCAGCAGCTGATAACAGCTATTAACAAAAATTCTGGGCGCCCCCTCCACCGACATCTGTCATCTTCTCCTCCTAAAAAAGCATAAAAAAATAAATAAATGAATAAAAAATAATAATTTTAAAAAGAAATAAATAATAACGCACACCCCC